TAACAGAGCACCAGGCCAGTTCCCGAACGTCAAAGAATATATAAGCTGTCAGAAATACTGAGAAGCAAGTGGTATGATTAGAGTTATTTCTGAAAACAAACATAATGCAAACCTGATGGGGTTCTTTTGTAGATTAAGCAACACATGTGAGTGCCATTTATAAAATAAAAATAGCTATATGTATGTTACCATGTTGCTAATATCTTCACCATCACTGTTATTTATTTCAATCCCATCTAGTGCAGGAGGATCTATATCTTTGGAAAGAGGCAGGCTGCAACAGAAATTTACAAATTAGTTTCAGTTTACCGAAATACTCAGGGGTGACGGAAATTAAGACCTATATCTTAGAAATGGACACATATGAAAACTTCAGACACAACTCTTAATATACACATCCCCTCATAACATGTCACTCCTGACAAATTCATAAGAAAGAAAAAAAATTAACATCTATCCCAAATTATAGTAACTTAAAATAAACTTAAGAAATGAAAAATGTGATGTGAGCAAAGGTGAAGTGGCATAATGTCAGCAACTTCCCTTTATTTTTTTTTTTTTTTTTATTTTTTTTTTTTGAGACAGAGTCTTGCTCTGTCACCTGATCTGGAGTGCAGTGGCGCAATCTCAGCTCACTGCAACCTCTGACTCCTGGGTAAGGGATTCTCCTGCCTCAGGCTCCTGAGGGGACCACAGGCGCATGCTACCATGCCCGGCTAATTTTTTGTATTGCTAGTAGAGACGGGGTTTTACAGTGTTAGCCAGGATGGTCTTGATCTCCTGACCTCATGATCTGCCTCCCAAAGTGCTGGGTTTACAGGTGTGAGCTACCACGTCAGGCCATCAACTTACTTTCAATGGTTCAGCCAAAAAAAAGACAGAGAGAGAGAGAGAGAAAGAGAGAGAGAAAGAGGGAGAAGGAGAAGGAAAATATGGCATACCAGTAATGTGGTATATATATGATATTAAAAAGGTAATATTTTAAAAATGTATATACATGGAACTCCTGAGGGTTTCTTCCTATAATCTCATGGGTCATCTCACACTTTAGAGACTACTTCATTAAAAGACATAATTACAAGAGGTCAGAATATTGGAATTGTACATAAGATGTGTATCAAAGACCAGGAAGTATCCATAGTAAAGCAAAACTGGCTTTCTTTCTGACAGGCCTTTATTGTGATAAAATTATAAATTCTTAGGTGACTCATATTCTAGCCACCTATTCATCTTAAGCATCTACAGAGTTCCAAAGAAGGACCAAGTTTGGCCTAAGGTGTCAGAGGTCCATGAAGACTTCTCCAAAGGCCTCCTTCATCAGCAATTTGCAAAGGCGGCATAATGCACCATTTATTATACATTAATTCCATCTAGTAGATACCCTTCCCCTAAAAGCAATGTGATTACTCCATCAAGAGGTTGCAGACACTTAACCATGGTGAGAAAATTAAACAGCCTGTATGTAGTAAAGGGGTCACAGAAAGGGTAGGCTATGCAGAATAAAAAATAAAACCAAACAGGGGAATCAGGTCTTCTGAACTTTTATTTTTAATTAGTATATAGGCATAACGGGGTATGATACAAAGAAAAACACAACAACCACCAAAAAAAAAAAAAATGCATTCAAAATAAAAAACAAATCTCCCTCCCTCCCAACCCTAGCCTTCCAGTCCCTCGCCAGAGACAAACAATGTTTTCTATGCACATGCACACGTATACAGATACCTCTATTTAAAATCATAAATGGCCACTAACTATAGACTCTGTTAAATACTTTGCTTTGTCTCATTGAAAAATATTCACTCATTCATTTACTCATTATTCAGCAATTATTCTAGGAACCACTAAAAAAGCAATGAAAACAGAAAAAATTCTTGCCTCATGGTCCATTCCATACAGCATATAAATAATATCTCATTATTTCAATGACTGCAGATTCACTCTATTTTAAGTATATGCTACAATGTATAGTCCCTTACTGATGGACGTTCAGTTTGCTTTCTACTTTGCACATTCTTTTTTATAATCATTGGGCTTGCAGCATCCTCTTCTTTTATAAGCAAATATTTTGGCCAAACCCTCAACAGCTGTTTAAGGTTCTATTTTGAAAATGCTTCATTCAATGACTTATTTTTCACTTACCAACATCTATAAAACTACATCAGAGAAGATAGTCATTCTAGAATTGTTTAAGATTCCAGTTGATTATTTGCAACAGTTTAGCAAATTACGTTAGTTTTTAAGAGCCTATGAAGAAAGTAAATGTCATAGTCAATCCATCTTTTTTTCCTTGCAACTGTTAGGTGTGGTGTTAATTCTTCCAGCTGGTTTTCAGACAGCTTTAAAATTAACTTTGAAGTTTCTCTAACCCTTAAAAAAAAAAGTCAATGATTGCTTTGCCAAGAAAAACAGAGCCCTTACTGAACAAGTCAGAATTCACTAAGTTCTTATAATTTCAAATATAGACTTTCTGAATGCTGTGTATGTGCATATATGTGTGTATTTGTGTGTATGCATACATGTGAGTGTGCATGTACATGTATGTAAGCTAACATTCATAGAAGGCCGACAATGCACTGCAGCTGAAGAACTTATATTGAACCACTGTTACATCAATCCATGTTACAAAATAAATACATACTCAATACAAGAGTCCATACTGATTTACAGAACAATAACCCCAACACTTCTTGAGCACCTAAAATGTGTGCCATGCTCTGTTCTGTTTTTAAGTGCATCTCCTACACAAAATAACTCACTGTAAGGATATGAAAGCTGACCCTTAGAGAGGCTTAGGAACTTTGCCACATTCATTCAACCCCTAAGTGATAGAGTTAAATGTCAGTGTAGGCAACCTCTGCTTTAAAATCTCTATAAAATGTATGACACTGTTGTAACTTCTAAATACATCTGATAATAAATTATGAGCTGGCATTTTATATCTATTACCTTAGTATAAAATATTATGTAGGATTTATATAGGTTAAATTATGACTTTTGTAAATGTGGGACCCATGACTCAACCCACATCTATGTACTCCACAGCTGAGTATTCTTTTTTGCCACCTCAAGGTACGCCAGAATGAAGCTATGGAGAAGTTGTACTGCCCACTTTCTGCAAAGAGGCAGGGTTGAAAGCATGAGTTCTGGAGGGCTACTGTCTAGATTCAAATCTGAGCACAGACACATACATGGTAGCAGTGTGCACCAGACAAATCCCACTTCTGTTTATCTGTTTAGTGGGAATGATGAGAATGATATTCTTGGTGGCTGACTGTATTGAAGATTCATATATATATGAATATACATATATATATTCATATATATATATATATATATATATATATATATAGGAAGAGCTGATAACAGTGTCTGGCCTATGTTTAGGTACTTCATATAGCTTGCAACTATGGTTATCTGCCCATATTCACTCCGTAACAGAATTACAATCAGTTATGTTCTAACTCAGACTCAGGGTGGAGCCTGGAGTTCATACATACCACATGTTGTGGAAAAGACCAACTATGAAGCTTCATTAGGAGCTTAGAACAATGAAGAAAAATTAAGAACAATGTTCCAATGAGAAGTAAATGATTCTGAGGAACTACAAAACTACCATCCCAGAGCTCCTTTAAGGAAAGATCTCCAATAATCTCTCAGCCCAGCAGACTGGAACCCATACGGCCTAATGTGAATTCACTTTGCTCTAGAGGAGTAAGCTCTGCTCATGGCAGACAGGCCTGATTGCCAGAAGTTACATTTCCTGTGAGTGAGCAGGGAAGCCATAGAAACTAGAGCCATGGGGCACCCAGGGGCATTCCAAGTGAAATGAGGCTCTCATCACCTCAGAGAAGCCTTCTACTCACAAATGAAGCAGCCCAATGAGGGAGAAGAGGGGCAGCTGGCACACAGCTGGCAGGAAGGTCTGGGGTACCCTACCATCCCCTCTCCCTGCACTGGAGACTACCAGAGGCTCAGGGCCAGATGAGAAAAGTGGCTCTACAATAAGGCTTTGTAGAAAAGGGTCTCCCTTTTTCAATTCCTCTCCATTTTCTCCAGCTGAGCCCAGCTTTATGCAAACAACTCTTTTAACACTTTTTTTTTTTTTTTGAGACAGAGTCTCACTCTATCGCCCAGGCTGGAGTGCAGTGGCACGATCTCAGCTAACTGCAACCTCCGCCTCCCAGGTTCAAACTATTCTCCTGTCTCAGTCTCCCTAGTAGCTGGGATTACAGGCGTGTGACACGACGCCCAGCTAATTTTTGTATTTTGAGTAGAGACGGGGTTTCACCATGTTGGCCAGGCTGGTCTCGAACTCCTGACCTTAAGTGGTCCACCCACTTCGGCCTCCCAAAGTGCTGGGGTTACAGGCGTGAGCCACCGCGCCCGGCTGCAAATAACACTCTTAAGCTCAAAATGCAGGCCACTGGAGGGGTGGGGTGAGCCAACAGTTCATTAAGTGGCAGCAGGCCAGGGAAGCGGGAACGGCGGGAACCGGAGGTGGCAGAAGGGAAGGGACCCTGGCTCTCAACCCTCTGGAGCCAAAGTAAACTATGCTCCAATGGACCCCCGCTCCGAGGCAGAGCAAGCCTGGCACTGACGGGCCGCCCGCGTCTCCTTGCACCTGCCCTGGCGGTGCAGCCAAGGCGGTCCCCGCAAGGGCCCAGCGCTCTGCGGCGAGGGCCAAGATGCTCGCCCGAGAAACATGGCTGGCTGGAGCCTCCGTGCTGCGAGCGCCACGCGCGGGAGGGCGCGGAGGGACGCGGCCGCCAGCCCTGGGAGGCGGGAGGAGGAACTTGAACGCCCCGGCTGACGGCAAGTGCAGCGCATTCCAGCCGTTCTCCGGCAAGGCAGCTTCGAGCCTTCTCCTTCCTTCCCTTTCCTCCCTCCTACGTTCTTCCCCTCTTCCTCATTCCCGCCCAGCCTCCTTCCTCCCTTCCTAACCTCCTCCCCTCCCCTCTTCCTGCTGTCACTTCCAAACCCAAGGACAAAACCGTTACCTGCGGTCCCCCGAGCGGCCCCGAGGTCCGCCTCAGTCACTGCCGGAGCCCAGGCGCGCGGTCGGTAGCCGCCCGCCTCATCCCAGTGCGTCTGAGCTGCCTGGCGGCAGCTGCTCCTTTTATGGGGCTCGTAGGCAGGAGGCTCAGCCAGGGTGTCCCCAGCGCGCTTGGGCGGCAGCGGCGTCAATGCACGCTATTCACGCTCGGGGCTGAGGCTGGCACCCCCCTACACACCCCCCGGGAGTGCGCAACTGCCCGCCCGCCCCCATCCACATGGCCTTGGGCAGGGATGGGGGTGGGAGACAAACATGGCTCCCAGGGCACCCACTAGGGGGAGTCACGTGGGTAGCCAGGGTAAGAGGGGCCCACCAAGAGCTGCTACCACCTTGAAATGAATATGGAGGTGCCGGTCAAACACTGGAGTGTCGGGTTGACTTTGAAATAAGGCAGGAAGAAAGCTGAACCTTTCATCATCATCATCATCATCACTATTTTACTTATAATTATTATTAACTAGCATCTGCCATTTAATTAAGTGATTAGTATTAGCCAAAAAATTCTCTTCTGGTGCAGACCATTTTAAAAGAGCTGTGTATTCTGGATCCATCACCTGGCACTTTGGTTAATACAGATAGGTTCACATATTCCCTCTTCTCAGTGGAAGCTTCTGCTGGTCCCAGTCCGTAGAAGAAAAGTTACCCATATTAGCTCTGCATTCAAAGGCCCTTAAGTTTCTATCCTGGCCCTACTCTTTAGCCTCAAATCTGATGCATCTCACCCTCAAAGAACTCCAGGAAGGGGTTAAGTATTTGTCTTTTAATTAAAGACGAGAAAGACAAAGCTCAGAGAGGTTAAGTAATTGCCAAAGGTCACTCAGCTAAGAAATGCTGAAGCAATACCTCAGGTCAGTCCAAGTTCAAAGTCCTGGGTCTTAGTCTCTCCATGCTACTGCTTTTCGTAAACTTCTAAGAGCAAGAAGGCATCATGCCCTTTTGAGTTCTGGATGATATCTCACCTCTTCACTGGCAAGAATACAACTTGAAAGAAACTGGACTCCCTAGGCCAAGAAGAAAATCCCAGAGAGTCCTGTTTGAACCTGTCACCTCCGGACAGCCCTTCCTTTTATTCACATACAATTTTACTTTTTTAAAATTATACTTTAAGTTCTGGAGTACATGTGCAGAACGTGCAGGTTTGTTACATAGGTATACACGAGCCATGGTGGTTTGCTGCATCCATCACCCCATCATCTACATTAGATATTTCTCCTAATACTATCCCTCCCCAATCCCCTTACCTCCTGCTATCCATCCCCTAGTCCCCCACCTCTACCCCGAACAATTTTACTTTTAGTTTCAGGTGGACCATGGCAATAGTGATGGGACATTCAGGGGAAATAATCAACTTGACTAAATTGGTGTTAGCCCCCAGCATGCTCACATCACAGCCTGGAATGGCAAGAAGAAATGGAATTCCCAAGGCTGAGCACCATAGCTCATGATTATGAGGCTTGGTGCTCTTTGGGAGGCCAAGACAGGAAGATCCCTAGAGCCCCAAGTTTGGGATCAGCTTGAACAATATAGGGAGACCCCATCTCTAGAAAAAATACAAAAATTAGCTGGGCATGGTGGCATGCACCTGTAGTCCCAGCTGTTTGGGAGGCTGAGGTGAGAAGATTGCTTGGGCCTAGGCATTTGAGGCTGGAATGAGCTGTGATTGTGCCACTGCACTCCAGTCTGGGCAATACAGACCCTAACTCTCAAAAAAAAAAAAATGGAAATGGAATTCCCAATGATATGGTTCGGCTCTGTGTCCCCACCCAAATCTCATTTGGAATTGTTGTAATCCCCATGTGTCCAGGGAGAGACCTATAATACCCATGTGTCCAAGAAGAGAGGTAACTGGATTATGGGGACGGTTTCTGCTAAGCTGTTCTGATGATAGTGAGTTCTAAGGAGATCTAACAGTTTTATAAGGGGCTCTTCCCCCTTGGCTTGCTTCTCCTTCCTGCTGACTTGTTAAGGTGCCTGCTTCCCCTTCTGCCATAATTCTAGGTTTCCTGAGGACTCCCCAGCCATGAGGAACTGTGAGTCAATGAAACCACTTTCCTTTATAAATTACCCAGTCTCAGGAAAGTGTGAAAACAAAATAATACACCCAAGAAGAAGGCCAAAAAGCAAGTATTTGTTATACTTCACATAATATTAGAATGGTTTTTCCATGTGACTTACAGAAGCAGAAGACTATATAATCCACACTGAGTATCTAAAAAGACCTTCCTTCAAAAGTGTGGAAATGCATAAATGCATTAGCTAAGAGAGTGAGTAATATCACATTTACTCCTCTCTTTTTTTAAAAGTAGACACAGAGGAGTAATTTGACATGAGAGGTTCCCCAAAGCAAAGCCGGTATGATTTCCCTATGTAGGGCTCATCAGAGGACTAGATTAGCCCAATGCTGATAAGAAGCAGAAAATGAATGTGTAAGTTAGTAACTCCAAAGTGGGGGAGGTGGTAAGATATTCCTGTCAGAGTGAAAGTGATTTTCAATTTCAAATAATTATATTAGGTCATTCATTGTGTGGAATGGAGTGTCTGTAGTACACGGCATTCCTGCTGAGAGGGTTCTCAAAGGCTGAGTGTTAGGAGGCAGAAAACCTATAATTAGAAGCCTTGAAGCACCCACCCTCTCTGATGAAGAGAACTGGAGTACAGCCTGTCCAGGTAATAGGGCTCAGCTTAAGAGTGTGTGTGTGCGTATCTATGTGTATGTGTGTGTGTGTCCCCATTCTGATTTCCCAACATGAACATCTAATTATGCCAAATCTTATAAGCTTCAGGGGAGTGGGAAAATGAGAATTAAAAGCAAACAGTGATTTAGAGAGAAAAGATTTTTGAACCCACTTCCAAAAGAAGCTCGCATTTAATACAGGGGTGAAAGAGTGGCTTATCCTTTGAAGCAGCCAGCAAAATTCCTAACCACTCTTGGATTCTGAGCTACACAACTTTCTGGTTTCATTTGCACTCACGATAGATTTTCTTAGAAGCCCTCTCAAGACTATGGGTAAATGCCACTGGGGACAAGAAAATGAGGGCTTGGTGGTGATGTCACCATTCTTTTGTCTGTCTCCACTCATATAGATGAAAATGGGCCTCCTTTGAGCAAATCTAGCTTTTCTTGGGGCCCTGATCTAATGAATTACTTACTTTGGGAAGGGCCTGTGAAAACTGAAATTTGCATCTGCCTATAGAGGGAAGTTTGGGAAATCTAACTTAATTCATTCCATAGCCACTCTTGACATGACATATGAACCTTCAACATATCTCAACCTGATGCATGTGTTATGCCTTGGTTTAATTATGAGATAAATTCATAGGTTTTGTGTAATGTACTGATTAACTTATGTCCTCTGTTCACAGATGGTAAATGTAAAATTTCTCCAGGAGAGGGAATTATATCCTTCTGCAACTTGAGGTTTTTGCTGATCTGTTCAGCATGGTAATAGATCTAAGGGACGTTTAGTCCCCACTTCAAACATAAATAGCTATTCTTGATACTTAGATGAAAAAGAAAAAAGATGCCTTAATTATAACTTCACTCAACTGCATTAATACCATTCTATTTAAAACAACAATAACGGGTTGTTGGGTTTTTTTTTTTTTTTTTTTTGAGCCCCTCAGGATGGATGGAAAAATTAAGCCTGATTTAATCTATCAGCTATGCATGGTATAACAATATTAAGTCATATATTTAGAGTATAAGTAGCTAGAGGCAGTTTCTACATCAAACTCAATTGGCCACCCAGAACTTACATTCTCTGTGGTAGGTATGAGTCTTGTCCTACATTTTGGTCATGTTCATTTATTTTTTAAGTGTAAACAATATTGCCCTAACATCAAATAGAATGAGTTCAGTTTGGCTTTGAAAACAAAATTTTTAAATATAACATCCTTTCTCCTTTATTCACTCAATCCATATTTTTTTAAAGCACTTCATATGTGCTGCATTGTTCTAGACAATGGAGATGTAACAATGAACAGACACCGTGATGATTTACCTGTGCCTGACCAGAATCCTGACGTCGATGTTGCAAATGTATACAGAGTACACTATAATTATCAACCCTAATAGCAGTAGTGCCATGGGAAATATGAATACAAATGAATGAACAAGCCTCAAAAAGTTTTTCCTTGGTTTTAGGATATGCTATATATTTTTTCCATGGACTTTCTAATTGTTCTTTAATGTGAGTAAGGTTACAAATTTAGAGCAATGAACTATGTTTAGACCTTGGACTCTGGAGTCTGTCTGTCCTGAATGGGTATCCCCCTAATCTATATTCACTTGCTCTGTGACCTTGTGCTAATTCTGTTTTGCTAATTCTCATTACCTCCATTACAAAATACAAACAAAGAAACTGAGAATACAAATTTCCTTGAGGTAGTGTCATAAAATTAAATGAGATAATACAGGCAAATCTTTTGGCCTACAATAGTGTTGCTCACCCTTTTCTTCATTACTCCTCTAACCAATGAGCTTTTTCAGATTTTATTTCTCCTAATCAACCCCTGCTTTCCAATGGAATTATAATACCACAGATATACTGTGTATCTGTTTAGCTATTGTAGGTAGATCTGTACTTTATACGTAAAAAGGGTAAGCTTTGTTTCACCCCCGAAGAACCAATGTTCAGCCCCCTTAGGGGAGACATCAGTTCCCTTTGAGAAGGCATGGTCAAGAGTCACTTTGAACTCTATGTGATATAGAGTCAAGCAGTGTTTGCTAAATCTTAGCAAATATAACAGTAATAATCATCAAAACAAATATAAGATTCTATACCCCTAGACTAGAGAAGGTCAGAGTAAAGTATGGAAAAAGATGATAAGAGGCACATCAGCTCTGACACTCAGGAAATCAAAGCCTGAATCCAACAGTACAGAGGGTAGCATATGGAGGCTGGAGTTGAGCATGAACCAAGAAGACCTTCTTACCAACAGGGAAAAGACAAGATGCAAAGCAGCAGGGCAGCTAGACAAGGGTGATCACATCTCTTAATGAGTCAGCTAAGACCACCCATCATTTACACATGCAAAGAAGCAGCAACACAACATCAAAGTGTTCCAGGATAGATACATTTAGGGACAGTTCCTTTTGCCTGAAAAATCCTCTTTCCACCCCTCTGTCCAACCAAGTCTCATCCCTACATCAAACCTACCAGTGGTCTTAATTCCTTCATGAAATCTTTCTAGCACAAAGGTCCCTCAGTCATCAGACAACCCAAATTAAATTGAAGGATATTCTAAAGAATAACTAACCAGAGAACTTCTTCATGTCAACATCATGAAAGAAAGGGAAAGGCTAAGGAACTGTCCCCAGTGGAGACACGACAAAGAGATGGAATGTGAGAGACAAGATTGGATCCTGCAACACAAAAAGGACATTAGGGGAGGGGAAAATGGTGAACTCAAAATGGTCATGGTTTAGTTAATAGTACTGTACATGTTAACAGTACATGGTTCAGTTAACAGCCAATGTCAACTACCTGATTTTGATCATGGTATCAAATGTAAGATGTCGACATTAGGGACAGCTGAGAGGAGGATAAATGGGAACTCTCCATACTATTTTTGCAACTTTTCTCCAAGTTTTTAATTATTTCAAAATTAAAAGTTTTTTTTTTATGGTGATTTACTCATTTAATTTTTTCAGCAAATGTATTTTAAAGACCTACCCCATGCTAGGCCCTTCCAAAGGCCTGGGAATCAGCTTGAACAAAATAAGACAATAATACCTAATATCATGCTTAACACAGTATTCTAGGGATTCCTTTCTGCCTAAGAATAGCTATGAGGCAATGCCTTTTAAGTCTTATCCTGTCCAATACCGCCATGTCAAATTCATCTACTCTTGTCTTATCTCCTCACATTAGGGACAGGGCATGGCTCCTATTCTCTGCCTTTCACTCACGGGAGTGGATGAGGAGGAGAGTTCCTATGGTCCACTGCCTAGTATGCAGCACATGCCTAGAACACTGCTTGAACATAGACCTTTGAAAGGTGAGAGGAGGTGCCGTTTAAAAAAACATGAACACCCAGCCTGGTGCAGTGGCTCATGCCTATAATCCTAGCACTTTGCAAGACCAAGGCCGGAGGAACACTTGAGCCAAAGTCAAGACCGCACTAGGCAACAAAG